ACGGGCAAAATGCATCAACTGTTCAAAGGCATCATACTGAATATCGCGCTCACCTGGCTCACCGATGAACCTTACAGATCGAAAAAGCCATAATCGAAGCATTATAATTGGACCGCAGGTCGCGCCACCTAGCTGGTATGTAAAACAAATAAGGGTGGCGCATCGTCCGCAGACGAGGTTCTGATTTCAAAATGTTGGCCACCAAGTTCAGGGAAATTACGTGAGCATGGAGGATTACACTCACAAACATACCTCGGCAAACCTCACTCATGAGGGCCTTCACTCACCCTCACTCACCCTCGTCTTCACAGGTGAGGTGAGAGTGAGTGAGTTTCTGAACCAGGAAAATTCATGAGTGTGAGGGCGAGTGAGGGTGAGTGAGCGCCGTGAGGGCTGTGAGGGCGGTGAGGGCGGTGAGGGCCGTGAGGGCTGTGAGGGCGGTGAGGGCGGTGAGGGCCGTGAGGGCCGTGAGGGCGGTGAGGGCTGTGAGGGCCGTGAGGGCCATGAGGGCGGTGAGGGCGGTAAGAGGTATGAGGGCCATGAGTGCGTGAGGGGCGTGAGGGAGGTGAGTGGCGTGAGGGCCATGAGTGCGTGAGGACAGTGACATGAGAGGCGTGAGGGCCGTGAGGGCGGTGAGTGCATGAGGTGTGTGAGGGCCATGAGTGCGTGAGGGCGGTGAGTGCGTGAGGCGCCCTTCAGATCAAGCACCTTTCTCAGCAATTTTGGTGTTAATGGCGGGTTGTTCTCTAGCTTTCCCTAGATCGACACGAATTGCTGAGATCGGGTCGGGCTCGAAATAAGCAAGCAACTCGGAGCAATTCGAATACGTTTGAAGCGGCGGCATCCAATCAGGCACGCAAAATTTTCACGTGATACCTCGTGCCCGTGGTGATGACACCGAAAGACTTGGTTGTGGTTTGAAATCGATCGTTTTTTTTTTGAATAAACTGTTTCGGAAAGGTGCATTAGTATTCTTAACGAGATCTAAATGCATCAAAACACGTTGATAACGCGTAATTGTGTCTAAATAGTGCAAGAAAAATAAAATGTTATGATGACGATGGCAAATTGAAGCAATTGGCTGATGCGTGTGATCGCGGGCGGCCCGTGTTGCTGGTGTTGCAACGTAAAGTTTCTGGGCGAAATTGCCCCATCTGTAGCTGGCCTGAGTGGCATGAGGGCCATGAGTGTGTGAGGGGCGTGAGGGGTGTGGGTGGCGTGAGGGCGGTGAGTGGCGTGAGGGCGGTGAGTGGCGTGAGGGCGGTGAGTGGCGTGAGGGCGGTGAGGGCGGTGAGTGGCGTGAGGGCTATGAGTGCGTGAGGGCCGTGAGGGCAATGAGGGCCGTGAGGGCGGTGAGGGCGGTGAGGGCGGTGAGGGCCGTGAGGGCGGTGAGGGCCGTGAGGGCGGTGAGTGGCGTGAGGGCGGTGAGTGGCGTGAGGGCCATGAGTGAGTGAGGGGCGTGAGGGCCGTGAGGGGCGTGAGGGCCGTGAGGGCGGTGAGTGCGCGAGGACTGTGAGGTTCAGTGAGGGTGAGTGAAGGGCTGAAGGTGAGTGTGACTGTGAGGGTGAGGGTGAGTGAGGGGCTGAAGGTGAGCGTAGCTGTGAGGGTGAGGGTGAGTGAGGGGCTTAGGTGAGTGTGGCTTTGAGGGTGAGGGTGAGTGAGGGCGACCTAAAATGCCGACCTCTGCTCACAAATAGTGATGCCGCGAACCACCCAGGGTTCGAATTCAAAAGGTTTTTATGTTTCCGAACCGAACTGATGTTTGAATTCGAAAGGTTTCGATATTTTCGACCGTACGGAGAATCGAAATCGAAAAATTCGCAACTTTCAAAAAACGTGGAGTTTCGAATTCGAAAAGGTCCAAGCTTTCACGGTTTCTAAAAGCTCGGGTTCGATTATTTCGAATATTTTTTTACTTGAGGTTCGAGAAATTCGAAGATTTCGACCTTTCCTAACTTGAAAAATCGAGAGATTCGAATGTTTCGAATTTATTTGGATCTGAAATTAGAAACAATCGAACGTTTCGAATTCTTATAGACATAAAGTTCGATACATTCGAAGATTTCGAATTTCTTTCTATAAAAAGGTCGAAAGGTTCGAAGGTTTCGATTCTCGTTTAGGGCTAAATTACAGAGAAAAAAACTTCGAAGGTTTTTTATTTATTTTTACATCCAAGTCCGCAAAGTTCGAAGTTCAGTTTTCATGTTCCGCCACAGTTTTAAATAACGTTTTCGCGCCTCACTGGTTCTCACGAACCAGTGAGAAGGTTTAGAAAAGTTCGGGTGTGATATTTAGACTGCGCGAAACTGGTCAGGCAATTAAATGAGACGACGAGTGTCCCGGATGTGCTGGAATATTTGCCAGTGCAGAGTGACGTGTGACCATAGATCAGTAATTCTGACTGCCAGCCCGAGGGGGGGGGGGGGGGGGGTCATTAACGTGCATAACGAAGTAGTGATCACACGAACGCACTGTTGAACGATACTCATCCATTTCGAAACGGCCAGGGGCAGGCAGGTGGTTGAGGCTCAGAAAAACCTTGAAGCGATCTGGCAAACTGCCTCCCTAACCTCTTGCACGCTGGTAGTAATCCGATCGAACGCCGCCCGAGCCCTGAGACTGGGAATGAAATTTGAAAGAGAAATTGTAAGAATACAGAAAAAAGGGGACAGGACAACGCCTCAAACTCAGCTCTGTGAATGAAATTTGAAAGAAAAAGTGTAAGAAAACAGAAAAAAAGGGGAGAGGACAACGTCTCAAACTCAGCTCCGGACAATGTCTCAAACTCAACTCAGCTGAAAACTCAGCTCAGCACAACGTCTCGAACTCAACTCAGCTGAGTTTGAGACGTTGTCCTGTCCCCTTTTTTCTTTTTTCTCACACAATTTCTTGCGAATTTCATTCCCAGTCTCGACATTTTGCATCATGATCAACATAAACCAGCTCGCCTGCACCTTGACAATTTTTTAGTTTGTAATTGATTTGGAGGTTTATTTTCCGGGACGGAAGAAACGCCGAGCAAAAAGCACAGAAGCTGACACAACTTGAGGTCGAGGAGCGTTCTACCATACCAGTGGCGTCGGAAGAGGAAAAACGGGGGGAGGGGGGGGCTCCAATTCCCCCCCCCCCCCCCCCCCCCCCCCATATATTTCGGACTGTTAAAGAAAACAATACGGGGAAAGACGGCATGGTCGAGCTTATTTTAGTCTGAAATTATTTATGCATATGTAAGCTGCTGTAGCTCTTTACTGCATAAAAGATCGCGTAGATGGTCACTGTTTGAACCTCGTTGTCAGAAGGCACTACTCGTCACAGGCTTGGTGGTTCGGAAGCTCAAAGCTACGTCTTTTCGACCTAAATAACTGTGCCATTGGTAAAAAAATAATAAATTAATACACATAACAATTAATGCAAAAATAAAAACCTGGAAAGAAAAACAAAAACAATCAAGAACCCGCCGGAAGTGTTTTATTCTTGCATATTCAGAGGCCCATAACTACGAAACAAGTTTCTCCTACCAAAATGTGTACAGGCTAAAAGAAACACGTTCCAGAAATCTGAAATAAGGAAAACATTTTTTTTTTCTTTTCTTTTTTAATGATGTGTTGAACTTGAACAATTATTTTGTATTCTGCAGATGGTAATGATATGTACTTTACAGTATTGTATTGATATGTACTGTACATTATTTTGTACTCTGCAGATGGTAATTATATGTACTGTCTGTGGTGTTAATTTAAATGCGATACCTCAAGCAATTTAGACGAAAACAATTACCAAGTTTTGGGACATAATTGCCCGTAGATACATGCTTGGATATTTCTTCGAAACTCGTCTTGAACAACAATAATCAAATCTTAAGACGACACATACCTAGGCTATACATGGATCATTCTTAAGAAGTTTAAAATCCCTACCATAAATAGCTTCGGCTATAGCGCGCTTCAAATATGGCACAAACGACAACTGTCAAAAACCCGTCGTCCTTCCTCGCTCCTTCGGGAATCTATTTCTTTAAAACCAAGCATGCCAGATGATTGAAATATATGGCATTGTCTTTCGCAAGGAATGCGGCACCGCATCTAACAATGCGAAAAAAATTAAAAAAATACGAGTGTACCTCATTGCTTGAATCCAAATGAAACCGCCCGCCGGAACTTTTACCCTAGAAGTTCGAAGTTCGTCGAACTTTTGACTTTTCAGGAATCGAAAGTTCGACAATTTTCGAATTCTTTAAATTAATAAGTTCGGAAATTATCGAATTTCTTAGCGTAGGAACTTCGAAAGTTCGAAAAGTTCGCACCTTTTAGTGCAAAAAAGTCGAAAGTTCGAAAATCATCGAGTTTTTTTGTTTATCAAGGGTGAAAGTTCGACCAGCATTGAATTCTGCAGCGCAATATGTTCGAATTTCAAAATCTGTCGAACTTCTTTGTTTAATAAGTCGAAAATTCTACTTCCGTCGAATTTCTCCATATGGCAAGTTCGAAAATTCGAAATCTTTCGAACCTTTCGAACCGCTTGATTCGATCATCAACCTTCAGCGCGAAAAAGTTCGCAGCATCCCTACTCACAAAGAGGCGATTAGAAGACTGGTGGAAGTTATCTAGGCAAAATTTAATGATGCACAACTAACTAGCAAAGCTGGGGACAGGCGTGACAGAGAAAAATTGGGACTCCCCCCCGCGTGGCTCCGGCCCAAAGTCTCAATCCTGTCTTCAATCGGTCCGGCGCAGGGGTAACGCCGACAAGGTTTGACCAGAGGAAAATTGGCGACACCACTTTTTGCCCGATCCCCCAAAGGTCATCCTGGTGATATCCCACACTACCTGGTGATAGTTATTCTAGTACACCATAGTTAGGGGGTAGACAATTAACTTAGAAGGGCTTGAGGAATAAAATGTTTGTCTTTCTTAGACTTAGGCTAGGTGGCGCAAGCTACCGCCCGCTACAAAGAGAATAGCCAGAAATATTCAGTTATCCATCCGTAAATATTCAGTGTTTCGGAAAACTCAATATTTATATAAAATAACAAGTTCTTATTAACCTTACTTCTAACTCCCGATCGTTTTAAATCAAGTTATTTTGCTTTATATTTTAGTTATTATATGGTAACTATCATCGTCATCGCAAAATTCGCTAGCCGTGACAATCCAGTCAATCTGCTCTTGCGTGTGTTGGTGGCGTGGTCTGTGGTGACTTCGTCCGTATTTTGCGGAAATTTTGGTATACGAACACTTGCAGAACTTGCGATGTACACAATCGGTGCCGTCGCCGATCTGATCGGAAAACAGTGCATTCCAAGCGAGAAAGCAGGTAAGACTTCTAGCACGTCGAAAAAGCATGCTAGCGAAGCGAAGGCCCGCAAACCGGTATACACCGAGTACAGATTAGACATCCCCACGCCACCGACTAAAGACCTGCGTGAATCCGAAAAACCCGACGTTCCGAGCAGCTCCGAAAGGTCACCGGCTAAACGAGCTAAAAGCAAGAAGTTCAAGAAACCCAGAGTCGAGGAGGAACCGATACGAGAGTTAAGCGAAGACGACTTCGAGCAGGATTCTTCGGCGCAAAGTGCTGCTGAAGAAGATGCGATTCCTCACGATCCGCCTCCACGAAAAAAACGTAAGAAACAGAAAGCCAGCTCCAGGGTTCCAGAAGAGCCAGAAGACCCCGAGGTTGCCCCTGACGACGTCGCCGATGCCGAAGCGCCGAAGCCGCAAAAGAACTTCCCGCCGGAAAGTCCAGACAAAGAAGCGAGAACCATCTTCGTCGGCAATTTACCGGTCACCGCCTCGGAAAAACCGCTACGGCGTTTCTTCAACCAGTACGGCGCTATTGAAAGCGTGCGGTTCCGATCTGTGGCGCCCGCTCGCGCCAGCCTGAGCAAGAAGGTCGCCTACATCAGCAAGAGCCTCCACAGCAGCAAGCAGAACGTCAACGCTTACGTCGTCTTCAAGCAGAAAGAGTCCGTGGGTAAGGCTTTGGCGGCCAACGGTTCCCTGCTCCTCGGCAACCACATCAGGGTGGACCGTGTCGGCAAGAAGCCACAAGTCGACGACCGCAAATCTGTCTTCGTCGGCAACCTGCCCCACGAAGTCCAGGACGAAGAGCTGTGGAACTGCTTTTCGGAGTGCGGACAGGTCACCGGAGTTCGTGTCATCAGGGACCGGGAGACAGGTATGGGCAAGGGTTTTGGGTTTGTGACCTTTAGCAAGCTGGATGCTGCGGCACTTGCGCTCGAGATGAGCGGCATCCATATGTCTGGTAGGCCCATCCGGGTCACTCCGGTCTCGAAGCAGCAGGGTGTGGCCAAGAAGGGTCCGCAGCAGACGGCGTACGCCCAGCGGAAGAAAGCCAAGTCCAAGGCTGCACCGGAGGAAGGTGTGGACTTCACGGGTGCCAGGGCGGAGCGCCTGCTCAAGAAGAAGAAGCTGAAGAAAGTGATCCGTTCTAAGAAGCAGCAGCGGCAGCAGAAGGCAGTATTTGGGTTTGGTGGTGCAAAGGCGGTGACGTCGCCCAAGAAGGAGAAGAAGAAACGGAAGGCTTTCAATGTTGCAGACTGATGGGCGCGATAGCGGCTGTGTCATGGTAGGGATGCAGCAGGAAGTGTTGTAAATTGGATGTATGTATTATAAACCGTGACCTTTCACCAATTTCGGTGGTCTTTAATCGAGATTGCAGATGGCCGGTTTACTCCGGAGCAAACCAGTGAGGACAGGCAGGCTTAAACATTGCATCAGTTCCATAACGGCAGATTGACAACAAAGTCATCAAATCATGCAATGTGGAAACGAACGGAAAGTTCAAGAAGTTTCGTGCATCTTTTGACTTCTTATTTCTGTGCTGAATCAATTTGAACTGATTCACGAGTAGAGGCTTACTTGGGGGATGATTTCGTTATCCGTACCCAAACATCTTTCTGAGCTTTATCCATAGTTCTAATGTCAGACCAACAATACTCAACAAAAAGGTAGTCATACGAGAGACAACAGATCTATCGGAAGACTGCATGCTGTACCCAAAGCAGTGTCTAGTGCTAGAAAAGGGAATCCAGAGATTTGTATGCTATAATCCGTTACATCATAAGTGGCAGCAAAGCCGATGCTACAAGCAGAAGCGTGCTGTCTTGAAAAACTCTTTTGCTTTACAAGCTTGCATAGAAGGCCTGCTCAAAGCATTGCATTCACTCTTGCAGCTTCTTTGCTGACATTTATGAAGACACAAGAGTATAGTGACCTATTGTTGCTCGTTGCTCGTTGTCACATTCACGTTTAATGAAGCAAAGCGAACGTCTTACACCCCCTGGGCAGTGAAGTTTGGTTTAACAAGTGGCACCATCTTGTGCGGAATTTTCGCAACTCTGAGAGGGCCCGCAACCGGAATCCTCGGACCCGATTTCGAGCTCAAATGTCCGAGTCCCTCTTGAACTCTTGTGCAGAGCTCGCATTCAATTATCTGGTGGTTAGGCCTTACCAAAGTTGCCCATTTTGGCCATTAGCCGCTGTGACTGGCAGCCGGCTGAGGCACCTTTTGTTCCCTGCCCTGGGGCCATAAGACCTGCTCTGACCGCACGCATTTTCTTGAAATTCTCACGACTTAGTAATGCCCCGCAGAACAGGCCGATTATCCATAGGACTATCTGTGTCATCACCACAGCATTGCGCGGCCTTTGATTGAAAAATTGGCATTGTACATTTAATGCATCGCACGTCCTGATTCAGTTTTGTGACCCATATTCAATCCAATGCAGTGTAGTACTTACCTGTGTCCCCCAGTTTTGTTGTGGTTATTTGCCAAAAACCACTCATACTCACAATGATCCAGTTTAGCTTTTGCATTCACATCTGTTCACATAAAAACTATACAAATTGCAGTGATATTATTCAACATACCAAAATGTGGATTAGCTACACTGGTGGAAGCAGCTGATACAGATGTCACATGGAAGGAAAGGACACGGCTGGACCGTTTGAATCGGTCAGTTGCTGGTCCCACCTAGCAATTTATTTTTTTTTTTTATTTATTTTTGTAAGATATATATGTATTTATATAGCATTTAAAAAGTGGATACCGTCTGGTGACCGCTAACAGAAATTCCAGCAGTTCCATACCACTAGTAGAAATAAAAGCACTCCTAAGCATCGGGTGCCCTTGAAAACTTTGTAAAACCTTGTAAGTAGATGTCGTCCTGACTTGTAGTCAATGTCCACACTCCAGTGCCTGCTCACTGCATGCTAATCAATTCGTTGACTGTTAGCAGTGATTGGGTGAAGCACAGAGCAGATCTCCTCGGGAAAGAGTGCACTTCGACAGGACATTGTTATGTTGGCGTTGTGCTGAGATGGACTGTGGGCCAGTCTTCTATAATTAAAACTGCTTCTAAACCACCATTAAAAGTATAATCCCTAAAAAGGAATGCTGGATTAACACTACAAATCCATCTCATTACATTCAATTGTTTGTTCCATACTGTTAGATGTGCCTACTGCTTTACATCCGGCAAAGTGTATCTACTAACCTGTGAGTACTGCTAGGGACGTCGCAAACTTTTGTTGAACTTCGGGTTTGACTTATATGGCGAACCCTGTTAACTTTGGCAAAATTCTATGAAGTTTAACTTAATGGGTGGTGTTGCCCCATCTACAAATAAAATTAAAAATTTTCAGAAAAGATAGTTTATAAAACAGCTTGTCACAAATTTTAAAGTATATTTGCCGATGTTTACTGATATAAGAACAAACATGGAATCTTTTAATGATCAAGTTAGTTTGACTGTAAGACTACATACCCCACAATATGCCTCGCCCGTCCTCTGCGAGACCGGAGGACGGGCGAGGCATATTGTCTTTTATTTTGGCACATGTGCATAATACACACTGAACAAAACTGCAAATTAGAAATAAACTTTTTTTTTTGGGGGGGGGGCGGGTTTTGAAAGGGCAGAAGGTCTTGACATTTTTGTAGTTTTCACGGTAGATTCATTTTTCATAACACTTATAACTTTTTTACTACTTTAAGACTTCATATAGAAGGGTTAAGGTTAAAGCGAAAACTGCAAAAATGGCAAGATCTACCCTACCTTCTGCGCTTTCAAAGCCCAAAACTCGAGAACGAAAAAATTTCCGTAGTTCTAATTTGGAGTTTTGTTCTAGTCACTATTTTTACCAACATATATTTTTTCAGAATTTTTTGAGGACACATAACTTTTTTCTTGCACGATTTCCATATGTAAAAATCTCCCTAGGTGCAGTTGCACAAAATCAAAGAAACCTTGTGACTCCTGGTGTATTTGGATCTCATTGCAATTGAGTACAGTGTAGTTTTTAATGCTAGTTTTTACGTTTTGCATGTGCAACACTGAACAGAACGCCACAGCAGAGGAGGATTGCAGCGACTTCGTAAAGAAAATCATGCAATCAACGTCCATTAATCTGAATGCTATTTTGTCTCTGCTAAAAAGGAGCATGGTCGTCAATTTCCATGAGGACGATATAATAGTAGTAAAAAAAAATTCAGATAATATCCTGAGAAGTGGCCTCCACTTTACTGAGTTTTCTATCCTGTACAGAATGGCATAAATGGAGGAGCCGGAAAAAATTGGTATCTGGACGTAGAAGACTTAATTTTCACCAAAGGAGTATTACAGTCGTGGATTTCACCTTATGAAATGTAGAGGTGTAGCTAGCTCCATTTCTGTGAAAAGTGAGGACATCCTTGATGTTTGCAATGTCGGCCTTTGGGTCAAATAATCAAACCACCCGGTTGCCCGAAGCCGGGCGTGTGGTGTCATCTTCCGATAGCTACAGCAAGCAGAGTACGGCGTCGTCCGCTTTCGACCGAGTGCGTGCTGCGCCTCTCGGAAGATGGCGCTACAATCCCGATGCTTGGGTAGCTCGGATGTTCGTGCGTACCCTCAAGCCTCGAGTGTCTCCCCCTCATTCATTTCGATGCCAAGCTGCTCTTAGCAAATGTTCAGAGTTCAGAGCGCCTTGCTACGTGTGACTGATTGGCCAGACGTCCATCGGAGTCCAGTCACGTCCGCTTGAGCGGCCGCCGTTCAGTTGGTACAGTTGTCGGAGCAAACGAGGCCCGCGAGGCGGGAAGGTACTAATTGCAGACGGAAGTAACAAACCGAAACTGCACAAATGACAAACCTGAGACTTGAAAACTGTTGGAACTAATATAAGAACGGACAAGCACCTACGCCGTCGCAATTAGTTTCCAGTCTTGGGTTTCTCATTGTGGAGTTCGTGCACCAGCTTGCCTGGGTTTTCTCACTTTCACCGGATGAATGGTCGGCCAAACTACGGGCCAAACCTTGACCTCACTTGACCAGTCAATGATAGTGGAAAGGTAAATTTTTAGAAGAGGGCAGAGGAGATGAGCCTACACCAGGATTGTCTCTATTTCCTTTTTCAACTACATTGCTAACAACAAAGGAGGATTTTGGAAAGAAAAAAAATAATAATAAACGACTGTGCAACCAGTGCTACTTGTCGGACGACTCGGGTTCTCTACTCCCGAGCCAGCCGTTCAAATCGTAAAAAATGTTATTCTATTGTTCTTTTTTTTTTTTTTCGCAGGATATACATCTTGAAGTTTCACGAAACAATATCCGCCACTAAAATGCATCTTCGATGAACGTTTGACCCCTCTATGTCCAGGCGCCAACGAACAAAGTCTTCAAATACACGTCTCGAGCACCGTTTTTCTTAGCCACAACACACAGGTGGTTGCCAAAATAATGGAGTCAGCATAGTTAGGCACTCGTTCCTTTTAGCACGTCGTTGCACCCCTTTCATCTAAAATTAGGGCTGTTAAATTAATCGATGAACCCTCCGATTGATCGTGTTCCTCGTCCACCAAGTGTATAACCGATCGCAGCTAAACTCCACGTTAAGAACCTAATCGCCGAACGATTAAATAAGCTTATAGAAAAGCTGATTGTCTTTCTGTTTGTTCTTCTTCTTAAAAGTTTATTATAATTAATTGTAATCAACAAAATAATTATACCTGCCAATAGGACATATTTCACACGTTCAGTTACTTGAAAATCTTAATTGCTGCCAACTTGGCGTCAGTGGAAAGATGTATATGTTTCTGTTTCCTTCGCACTGGTGAACGGGGCATACTTCTGGCATCGCTCCACGTTGCTTGAATTTATAATTTCGCAATATTTGACCAGTTTTGGAGCCTTCAGAATGCACCGATTAATTAAGGGATTAAAGGTAAACAAATGGTCGATTAAAAAAGCTCGAGGTACACCTAAGCATTTTTTATGAGTTGTGAATGCGAAAGCCTGCAGTCCGCTTCCTTTATCGTCTGCTCGTCCGCTCCCTTTGTCGTCTGCTGCATACTAGCGCGCGCGCGCGCTTTGGGATCTCGGAGGCCATGGCGCAGCGGCCAATGGGAGCCCCGTCGACGCTCGCCAGCCAATGGATCCGAAAACGAATCGCTCCTATTGGGATCGCGGAAACTAGGAGCCGTTTTCGCGCTTCAAATTGATGACGTCATCTCGCCATGAGACATTTAGGCTTTCGGATTAAAATTTTTAATCGGCGCACAGCCCTGTTAAAAATGCGTTCAAAGAACGAGCATATTATGTGAAGGGTAACTTCGTTTCATGTTTTATTTTATCGACCCAGCACAAGCGATGCCGACGACGCTGTCTAAACACCATTTCTGTTCGAATGTTGCTTATCATTATGAAAATCAGTCTAAACGAACGAAAGGAACAAGTTCTAATAGCCGGCACTTGTCGGACAAATAATCAGCACAATAAACAAATTTGTCAAAAACACCCTTTCTAAATTTGCGCGTTTATACGCAGGAAAACAGTATATTAGGGAGTTTTCGTAGATCGTTTCCGCTGTCCCGCAAAGCTCTCCACAACCCGCTGGCTAGCCGGGACTTTACAGTCAAGGCTATCGGCGCGCAGGCGCAGTAGCGGCTGTTTCGTTGCGGAGGGCTTCGCTGAGGGGGAAACGCGGTCTACGAAAACTCCCTAATATTACGAGGTGTTTTTTTTTAAACATGGTAGATTAATTAATTGACCGATGCGTGAGACCACCGATATTATTGTGGGAGAAAGAATTACCCTCCATTTAAAGCAGTTTAATCGACGTTTTCTCGACGTAAACATACCAAATTTGAACAAAACCAGCTTGATTTTTTAGTTAGTTACACAGCTTTCTTTGCTTTCTCTTTCACTTTTTCACGTTTTGATTTACTTGCAGTAAGACCAGGCACGTAGCCAGGGGGGGGGGGGGGGGGGGGGGCATGGTGCCCGGGCGCCCCCCCCCCCCCCCCCCCCCCCTGAAATCTTCCATTTTGCCGGGACCTCCTCTGTCATGAGCGGGCCCCTCCCAAAACAAAATTCTGGCTACGTCCCTGTTACTTTTCGTTTCTTTCCTGTTCTGATTTGCTTTACGTAACTGACGAACCAAGTGGACGGTGGAAGGTAGAGAGAAAGCTCAACGCTCACTGCTTTCTGCTCCTGCTCAGCCTGATGTAAATAGTTTTACTCGGTGATTAGTTAATTTAAATAAAAACAAATGCACATAGAACGAGAGCACCAAGAAATAGAAAAATGATAAATACAAATCTATTTTTGGGATTGTTTTTTTTGCGTGAAAAGTTTGATCTAAGTTACCATGGTAAAACAGCTTCGTTTAAATCACGACGTAAATCATGATATCAACCAGGGCTTAAATCATCTTCATTTTTATTCTACGCCCTGATTGAGCCCGACACATATCCCAGACAGAACACAAAGTCCTGAGGATATCCCCATAATATCCCGATGTCCCGGCCGGGAGGAACTAATTCTGGGGATATCCCTGGGACTGCAATCCTCAGGATATCCTGCAAGGGACATGTGTGGGAGATTATGTTAAAGGCCATTGTCCTGGGGACATTCGTCGGATTGCACCCCAGTATATCCTGTGCGGGAAGAGTTTGGGAAATTCTCCTGTTGAAAACTCAACCAGTAGAATACGAAACTAAATGCACAAAAATTTAAAAATATATATATATAAATAATTAAATAATTTTAATTGTTGTCTTATTATTATAAATGTACTTTAATATCATATTTAATGATTATAAAGCTTCAAATCGAATACGAAATTCTGGCGGTACTAGTATCGGCTATAGGCAACTTAGCGCGTGCGCAGTTTGTACGGTTGGACTATTTGGCGCGATTCCGTAAAGAAACAAAAACTCGTTTTCGTCGTGAAATGAGCAAGGGTGACAGGTAAGCACACTTTTTCTTACTTCATAAGTTTCGCGGTGTCAGATAAACTGTTCATGAACGCTTCGTGCGTAACCCTGTGATCGTTCTTGCTCGCGGTTTTGAGTGATCCGGGCGCGGTGTTTGGTTGTGGCACAGGTGCGGTCGCGCGCTGTCATGCCTAAACACAAGACGTCCCGGACGTTTCGGCGGAAACTACGTGAAAATGTACGAATGAGTCTACGGTTGGCAGGCGCGGCCGTCGATTTGGTGTGCGATTCCGTCCCCGCAGTTTACTGTGAGACTGCGGTAGCGGGCGAGTCGGACGGGTCGTCCGGCAGTGAGGGACCCAGCTCCGGCATACGTTTTTCTGCTGCCACCGAACGTGACGCAGAGAGTCAGGAAACAGTCTTGAACACCAGTGAGGGAAGTCTCTTTTCTGGAAGTATCGAAAACACTGGAGGTTCTAATGTTTCCGTTCACAGTAATGACGGCGACAGTGGAGCCGCAGGTGCCGCGGGCGCGAAAATTCCGAAACCTTCAAGTGATGGAGAAAGCGATTCTGTTGACCAATTTAGAAACGACTTAAGGCGATGGAGTATCAAGAACAGTATCTCCCATCAGGCTCTGAATGACCTAAAATTGGTGAAGAACCATCCCTGCTTCTCGTCCCTGCCAAGCTGTGCTAAAACTCTGCTTGATACTCCAAGAAACTGCCCAGCAATAACGGAGTTGGGTGGCGGGCATTATTGTCATTTTGGACTGGCTGCTGGTTTGGTGGACAATCTACAAGCTTTGACAACTTTCCCAGAATGCCTCTACTTGCAGATAACAGGGTTGCCAGGTGTTTGAACTCCAACCCGCCAAACGTCTACGAGATATAGCCCAAAAATAGCCAAATGTCGATCCAGAAAAATAGCCCAAAAATAGCCAAAAACAAACAAACAAACTTATCATTTGATACGTTTGTTTTGAGCTAATATTAGTAGTATTAGTTTTAAATTCAGGATACCTGCTGAAGGCTGGAAAATAACAATTTTAGATTGAGAATGTTAGTGTGCAGTGCAAATTTACTAACCATTGCAGCTGAGTAATACATAGGTCTTCATTCTTTTAAAATAACAAATGCCTGTACTTGGTTTTACTTTTAGGAATGTTTGGAATCGTGAAATTCAGCGATTATGATGATCAGGTCGCAGTTGTTCCAAGGTCCTGGTATAAGGATGGCTATGTCGCTTGGCCACCAGAGAAGAACCCGAGAAAGTTGCAACAAATGGTGCAAAACGTGCACCAACCACCAGACTCCTGGGAGCGGCTAAAGTGCACTGCCATGGATTGGTTTGGTTAGTATGGCAGTGAATTCCCATAACTTGCATTTCAGAACTCATTGCACATCAATTGGTTTTAAAAGTTCAGCAGTTGATGAACTTTTTTCTTTCTATTTATGGAATTTAATCGTTCCAAAATGTGTAGCGTGTGAAATTTTGTATCGTGTTCCTTTTTTTTTTTTTCTCGAACTTGCAGAGTCTTACGAGAAGGCTAGACGAAAACTTCCGCGAGCCGAAGATACCTCTGATTTGCAAAGTGACGTAGAAAGACGCCGAAAAAAGCCGATGCGATGGGAGACAGATGAAACTGATGAGGATGATGTACTGGTTGGCTTCTGTGCCTCAACTTCCAGTAAGCTATTGTCTACAGAATATTCTGCACAGCTTATGGTTCTAGCGGTTCGATTATCATGTTACTCATAAAAAAATATTTCATTTATGGCCTGGGTAGAATAGGCATGTCTCAAAATTAGTTTCTGTTGGAAATTTCCATTTGCAATATTTGCGTCACAATTTTTTAGTTCTTACGAGCGACACCGAGACTTCTCTCTATTTTGCCATTACTCCGCACAAGAAAAAAAAGTGGGGAAGGGGTGACTTTGAGTCATTGGATAAGTGTCACCCACTCTGCACTTTTTTCTTGTGCAGACTAATGACCGAATAGAGAGAAATTTCAGTTTCATTCCTAATAACTGAAATTCTCTTCTGCAACCTGAATATTGCTAGGAGGGAATCTTCCTTACTACGTGTCATTTCTTTGTTAAATTATCTGAAGAGTATGTTGGTAGAGCTAACTGCAGCAGGAGAAATAGAACACACAGGATGACAAACATTTCTTCTAAATGTTCGTCGTCCTGCGTGTTTTACTCTTTCTTTCGTCAATATTCCTTCAGACCTGTCAAATAAAGTTCAGCTAAACAAAAAAGCTTTTTTTGCTTCTTCCTCACGCCTTTATAGGGTCTAGCCCTTTCCCACCCCATCACCACGTGGTGGTGCATCTTTTGCGACCTTAACTTGTATTCGGATGTAGACCTCGTGTTCATGTTGGCTTTGAGCATGTGTGTCTACAGTAATTTCCCAAACAATTTTTTTCAGAGGCACACGGATACTTGCAACCACGAAAGGAACCACTACCACCTGCGGTAGAGTCTGATGATGAGTGGGACGAAGTGGGAGCAAGCTCTTTTGAACCACCACCAACCCCTCCTGTGGTCATCAATGAGCCCCCTCAAGTGCAACAAGGTGAGTTACAGTTGAGCCTGTATGGTTTTCTTTCCCTTACAGTTTAGGCTTTTCTCCATGACTTCTTTTAGCACCCCCTAGCTGTCGGAATTTGTCAAATCAATTGAGTTATATCACTACAAGGCTATTTTTTTAGCTCCAGTCATCAGGCACATTGTATTTTATTATGTTGTTTAATTGACTTCATATCAGTTTGATTTGCAAATCAAACTGCTAATATAGTAGTCAGGTACTCGAGTATACTTCATATTCGTCAAAAGGCGACCGAAAGACCTGTCCTGTTAGATTCGGAATATGCGAAATGCATTTTGGTTTTCTCATTCTGCTATGGGCTAGCTAATAAAGTATAAATAAATATGTATATTCTGAATACTGCATACTCAAAAGCACGCAGATAAAAAGGCCTTTTGCGATCGACAGATAAGAATTATCTGTCGATCCCCGTTTCAAATTGAAATATTGTTGCAAAGTGCATTTCAGAGTGATAGATGAAGCATCCTTAGAAGCTTACACTATTACAAAAAATAAATGTGTAAAGTAGTTTTCTAGTTACGGCCCGATGGAAAAAGTTGACCACAGAATGCACACACCAGCTGCTTTTTCTTGCACAACTATGTAAATATTTGAGCTCATGTGAAATAAGTTTATTATTCAATTCAATATTCGGCTTTTGTTTTTAATACAATTATATTTGTATTATTTATAATACCATCAGCCCTACTGCATAAAGCTTTGAAAAAAATACTGTTGCTATTAAAATTATGAGCACGAGACTCGTACAAAAAAGCGGAGTGACCCAGCAACGGAAACATTGCATATATTTCATGGTGCCTATTATTCTGCTCTTGTGTGCTACAGTTTCAGGGCCGCATGTGAATACACACCATCTTGCATGAACTGCAGTTAATTCCTCAGGCTTCGCAGTTTATTATTGGTAACAGTCCCTAGTGTGCTGAGCATTCTTTTACTAAAGCTCTTAAGTTTTTGGCGATCTTCCAGATCATTCATCTCAGAAGACACACAAGGAAAACTTTAGAGTTGGTGTGAAAGGTGAGAGATATAAGAACCTTATTTTTAGTTTCGGAAATACTAAAATAATTATGCTTAAATTAACCATGTAGCCTCGTTAGCAGACTGAAAAATGTAGCTAGCATAGGCTCAGACTCGTGTATCATATTGCCTCATGTTGCATATATGGCCGTGCCAGTACCAGTACTAGATTCACTATTTGAAAATCTCGCACAGGTCACAATGTCAAAAGGCGACACCCATACGGAGAAAAGCACCAAAGTTACCATGCTGCAGACAACCAAGGTGTGTTCATTGCTGTTTCCCATAGTATTATTTTTCTGTTGTGCATAGCTTAGATTGAATTGTTGACATTGGAAAGCAAGTATAATGAACAGATCCAAATGAATAAGCTATTCCAGAGTATTCACAAATTTACCATAGCAAGTGTTTTCTTTAAAATAGGGTAATTTAACAGTTCACTTTAAAGGCCCGGTCACACTCTTGCAACCGAGTACGACTGAGAGAGACGAGACCGGTTTTTAAGCCTCTTGCGATCTCTTAGGACCAGCTCCGCTGCAGCGGAGCTTGTCCTAAGAAGTCGCAAGAGGCTGAAAAACCGGTCTGGTCTCTCTCGGTCTTACTCAGTCGCAAGAGTGTGCACGGCGCTTAAGCCTGTTTCTCTAATCAAGCAGTTGTGTCTCATACTTACATTGCAGATAAATGCCAGATGCATAACATTAATATGCTAGATCAATCTCTCTGGGTAAATAATTGTTGCTTTAATGAGCTTAAATGAGCCAAGTCTGAATTATTGAAAGTTTTCTAAATCAGCAAGTTTACCCTATTCTCAGTTACTTTACCACTTTCCTGAAACATGTTTGTTATGACACACGCATTAACAATATATACCTTGTATATTTTGCAGGAATGCAGAAAGAACTGTTCCGTTTGTTGCACATGGTAAAAGCTAAACAAGAGGAGCAGTCTCAACAACTGGACTTCATTGTGGCAAAGTTAAGCCAGAATGCTCAGTATGTCGAAGACTCCAGTGATGACATCATCTTGGACACATTCAACATGGTTGAGGATTTTCTGAGTTTCGACAATTCGTTGGAGAGCGAAGAAATGAAGAAAAAGCTGGTGAGCTGGTGCCTATCATTTTAAGTTGCATCATGATTTTTTTGGGCTAGATTTTTTTAGATGCCTGTAGATTCAAATGTATGCCCATCTGCAACACCAAACAGCTTGCTTTGATTACAACCCGTGTCCTCCAGAAGAGCTCACACTAAAATGGCCTACGAAATTCAGCAATGATATATAAGGTCTTCACAAATATATTTTACTGGCCATATTTAGGCATTACAATTTTTAGTCTCAACTCGTACAAAGGAAATAAGAAGGATGTACACGTAGGAGAGCGCGTTGAAAACTACAGAATACACAGAAAGAATAAAACACATGAATGACGAACACAGACGCACACTGTGTGCGTCTGTGTTTGTCCTTCATATGTTTTATTCTTTCTGTGTATTCTAAGAAGGATGCAACTGACTTCCTCGATGGCACGGAGCACATTGTTGAGAAGAGATAGATGAGCAGCTATGTTTTTTAACATTACCCAGATATGGTCTGTCCAGTGCAGATAAGCACGAGAAACTACAAGATCAGCAAGTGCTTAGAGCTCGGATTTCTCTCAATTTCTGTATGGGTCTGCAATGCATTCGTCTGTGTAGGCTGTGTAAATGGACAGACGAAATGCATCTGTTTGTGTTATTGCGCACTGCAAAAGCAGATGATCGTCTGTTTGACGGAGGAGACCCAACATGTAGATTCTGGATCGGGTACAAAGAGACTGTCGAGTACATCTTGAGACAGTGCAGCTGCTTCTAGCACAGCTGTGAAAGTGCCTTTCAGGGCAGTGTGGTGTAGGCCCTGGGCAACGAAGACAAGGACGCGTGAGAAAACCATACTCAGGACGACAGAAGCAACAAAGTGCTGCCTGGTGGAGTGGAAGACTTGGTTGCACCGTGAAACCTCTTTCTTGAGCCCAAACATGAGCTACTGCAGAGGGGTGGATTCAATGTAGTTTTGAAGAATAGTATGGATTGGTTTTGTAAGCTGTGGCGCTGTGACTTGTCAGGGGGGTGCAACTGGGTGGTGGATTTTAAAAAGGTACTGATTCATGTGACTGACTGAAACATGGCCGTCATTCCATCTCTTCCTGACAGTGTGTGTCCTACTTTTGACAAAAAGTCAGTTTCTTATTTATTATTTCTTTTGTGTTCTGAGTAAAGACCTAAACTTTTAGTACATTGAAAGCCACTTGATAGGTCAAGTTGATGACTTTGTGCGGGCCATTTTAAGTAAACATTGTTCTTGGACATCCTGCGCAAATATCTGGTGAAAATGTTATGTGTTACTAGTTGCATATTTTTATACTGAGAAATCTCATCCAAGCAGCCATGTGACAATCATGACACTGGATTCTAATAGTTATTTTTTTACTTTCTGTTGCAGAAGATGCATTGGAAAGGCTGTGACGGAAAAAGCATCTATGACGCCTTGCAAAGGGTCCTTCATAAGCTAATGTCAGATGAGGTGGCGGTTGAATTTAGCTTTCAAGGAGGCAAAGGGAAGAGGAAGTTTTGTAACCTTCGGAGCTGGACAGTTCTGCTTGGTATGTAACTTTGCTGACTTCTCACGATAGAGGCTTGCACCCGACAGAGAGTAATTTGGTGGTGCACACTGCAAACAAGTCTATACTAGTTTGGGCGCTGAATGTACTGAAAATTTGTGACGGCAAAAGCTAATCAACTGGAAAATTTAACACAATCAACATTTACTCTTCCTATAAATTTATGCAGGGACTGTGAACTAGTGAGCTTGCATACTTTCCTTTACTTTACATAGTTGACAAAACATAATATTTCTTTGGGGTGATGCTACTACCCACAGCCCATGTGCAAGCATAAGTGTGATGTGATAATTAGCACCTAAAATTGGTTATGATCAATATTTAACATGTTAAGCATTCCATTTAACTGTGGCATCTCAACATGATCAGCCCATATATGCCATAACAGTTGTTGGGCTTTGTTGACTGAATTTGACTTCACACTATTGAGTGGTGCACTCAAACCTTCAGGAATTCAAAATATTAAAACTAAGAAGCCTGATAGTCACAACATCTCGACCTAAGGAGCCGTCGGTGGCTGCTGCAGCAGCAGGCGTCGAGATACGCCAGCTACCTGCAGCAGCACATTATTTCTTGATCCCATGCTCGCAGTAAAGCCGAGTTGCACTGACATCATAAAGATTCAGGACTTGTCAAATTTTTTTGCCCACTGGTTTTTAGACATCAAAGTTTGCTAGAAGCAGCTTTATAAAACAATAATTTTATTGCCTATCTTGGTGGCTGCATATGCTCCATTTCATACTTAATGTGCAACGCTGTTAAGGCTACTGGCGCAAGCGTGTGGCATGATCTTCGCTTTTGCGCGCACCCTTGCATAAGTGGGATGCTAGATGAAGCCACACGCTTGTGCCAGTAGCATTGCATTGAAGCATGAAACGGAGTGTAAGAATTAATGATTGGAATGTGCCAACCAATGTTAAGTTGCTTTGAATCCTGGAAAAATACACTGTGCATTTGGTTACTTATTCTTGTTTCAGAAAACAGCTGACTTCAGGTTCCATGCACTACTTCAGCTTTGGAACACACTTGCATTCTTTATCGTTCCAGAATGTCTGCTCGCCAATAAGGGCCTTGGGGCAACTGAATACAAGGTGGAGAAGGCGCTGAAGTCATGGCTGGCCCATGCGAAGGAACGGATGGAGAAACGGCAGCCAGAAAAGTAGGAGGGGGGCTGCTAATTCGACGGCAAGGTTCTGGTCATTTTTAAATACTGGGCGTCTCAAAAGAAAGCTTAACTCTAAAATGGCCTGTAAAAATCAGCGATTTGATGTATCGAGAGAAATTTTCTGAAATATGTTGTTTACTGGTCAAATTATTTAATTGTATTTGAAGTTTTAAGTCTGACTTCAAGGAACTTAAAATTAAAAACATTACTTTTTCAAGAACTTGATGACTTGTTGGTAACAGTTCCAACAACGGCATTGGTTGCTTGCCTTTTGCAGGGAAGGCATCACCAGTCCGACAAGCGCCACGCACGTGTTTCTAAAGGCTCGTTTACACACTTGAGACGAGACTGGCTTTTAAGCTTTTTGCGACGTCTTAGGACCGGGTGCGCTGCTGCGGAGCTAATCCTAAGACGTCGCAAGAAGCTTAAAAACCAGTCTTGTCTCTCCGTCCTACTCGTTTGCAAGACGTGAACGGCGCTTAACTTTGTGTTCCTGCGGGAGATACCTGTCAGAATTAAGTTCTTGGTGTGCCTGTCTAACCTAATTGAAAACTCGTGCTAAGAACTTAATTCTGACAAATATCTCCCTCTGAAACATGAAGTGAGAACAATGCATTAAGTACTTAATGGACTGGTAGCGCCATTTCTGTAAAAAGTAAGCAAACATGGCCATTTTTTTTTAGCTGTTCACGAGAGCTACCGCCAAGTCCTTGAAAATGTCATTTTTAGTTGAAACTTGTAAATTTTAATGGAAATATCTAACCAGTAAACAACAAATTTTCTATGTGATACATAAAATCACTTTTTTGCAGGCCATTTCAGAGTACAACTTTGCTTTTAAAATGCCTGGTATATTGTGATATTTTTTATTTTTGGAATGTTAAGCAAACATTTATTTTAATAATATATATTAGGGCAATCTTTTTCTGATAATAAAGTATTCAATGCTTTTGAGGCTAACATGTGCCCATGTCTTTACTGAACAGCTTTCTTCGAGCTCAGCCCTACAGGTTACCTGAGATATCTCACTCGCATGAAATTTTATTGTTGCCAAGCTCATAGTCACTGTGGAAAATGTATGTTTAGGTAAGAACACAGCTGGCAAACTGTGCAGTCAAGTTCTATTGGTGCACACTTGACTTGCAGCTGACAGCTATGTGACCCAGGCCACTGCCTACAAGCGTCGAGTGCCAGTCAATCAATGCAACGGAGATATTATATTACCATAGTCTGGCCAGCACATGAGGAGGTTGGCACGCTGTATGTTGGAGCTGCCTGTAAGGCCCCGCATATAAACCTACAGTGTACAGACGGCAACCCGTAGGGCCTGGTACGAAGATTCCAGGTATAAACGTAGCAAATACTGACAACATCCATAGGGATATGTTGAGAATATACTGGGGGACCAGAAAAGTGGGCCAAAAGAATATCCCACGGACGTCCTAGGGAAATATATCTCCCACCACGAATATCCTGGGGATATCTCAAGGACAACCCGGATCTGGTACGGAGATCCCACGGATAAACGTAGGAAATACTGACAACGTACCAGGGGAAAATTCTGGGGATATGCTGGGGACTAGAAAAGTGGGCCAAATGGATATCCCACGGACATTCTGGGGAAATATATCTCCCACCACAAATATTCTGGGGATATCCCAACTTCCGAGTAGGATATTCTGAGGAGGTCCTCAGAATATGCATGTTCTATCTGGGATGTGTCGTATCCACTGATCTCCCCCATATCAGAGATCAGTGGTCATATCCAGCATCGAAAACTAAAGCGTACAAGTATATATATATATATATATATATATATATATATATATATATATATATATATATATATATATATATATATATATATATATATATATATATATATATATATATATATATATATATATATATAGTGGAACCGCTATATGGGCAGAGTATCGACGCCTCATTTCTTGATTATCTGGTGAGCGCCTCCATGTTGGTACTTAGTCAAAAGTCAAGTCAAATTGGACGTTTTAGTTATTTATACAGCGTAAGCTAGGTCTGCCAGTAGGGGCCACACTGGTTTACACTGTAGATGAGCAATTTCGCCAGTGCAGTACGACTGCTAACCTGGGATCTTTAACGTGCTCACGATGCACGATACACGACCGCACGCCGGTACTTAGTGCAAATCGCGAAGTGCCACTTCCCCAGCTTTTTAGATGCGGTGTCAGGAAGCTCGAACAACAGGGTTTAGCTCTGTCGTGGACGGTTCCGAAGACTAAAGCCCATAATAATTGGGGTTGTGTGGATATTTATGCAGCGTGTAGTTGGTCAGCCATTTCAGAGTTGCGACGAGTCACTCGCTGTAGATGAGCAATTTAGCCAGTGCAGTACAACCGCTAGCCTGGGGTATTTAACGTGCACTACGCAGTAGTGGTACACGACCGCACGCCGGTACGATGCTCATCCAGATCGAAACGGGCAGGGGTGAGGATTGAACCCAGGATCCCTGGGTTTTTGCAGCGCGAGCTGGCGTGCGCTAAGCCACTCGGCCACCGATCCCCCAGACTAAAGCCCCTCGATGTGTTCGCGTTTGTCTTGCAAGTAGCGTCAAATGTGCCAGTGCATGAGGCCCGTTTCTCGAGCGGTCCTTGCAAGCAGATGGCGGCGCAGCACTGAAATGAACGGCCCTTGGAAGCGAATGGCGGCGGAGCACCCGCTTGTGGCACGTGTCTTGGGCGTTTCCAAACAATGGTTGACGGGTACTTGTAAAAAACGTCTTCATCAAGGGGCTTTATGGGAGGTGGACTGAAGTGAGGGGGGGGGGGGGGGGGGGGGGACAGACACGTCATCGCGCGCATTGCATTCTGGGAACTTGTGGGCCAGGAGTGGAGCGCGAATGAATTTTGCTTCCCACCAATTCCCACAATGCATAACGCGACATTACGCCGCGATGAGGCGCTTCGAGTTTTGGAATAAGTCGATTTACAGTTTTCGTTGTACCGCGCGAGCAACCACGCGTTCGGACCGCATAACTATGGTACCACTAGAGCACATATATAACAGTGATCACGCAAAAACCCCGTCACTTGGAGTCCAGACAAAAAGGCCGTCTCGATAGCTTGAAGCGTGTCGCACGCACGCTTGTACGCTCGCAGCGTGCGTGATCCGTTTTCTGCTTTTCTTTTGTATTCGGTTCCGAGAAAGAAAGAGAGAAGGGGGGGGGGGGGGTGGAAAGAAAGAAACCCCGCGAAGGAAAAGGCAGGCTTTTCGCGCTCTGGTCAGACGCGTTGAGTGAGCCACGAGCGGTCGTGACCTGAGGTCACATGACCACGCTCCCGGCGAGACTTGGAAGCCACAGAGCGTTCAGGATGTAGGAGCGTCGAGACGCCGTTGTGCCGGCGTGGCGTTCGCATTCTTCTCGGCCCTGTTGTACGGGGAGAAAGAAAAGAAAAACTCCGAATGTGGCCCAAAAATGGACATTTCACAGAAAATGAAAGAAAGAATGTGGCGCCTGTCGATTGGTGTTGTTCGAATATCCAGACGGAACACGCAGTCCTGTGAACTGAAAAAAAACGAACCATCTGAAGGCCTCAGAGCTGTTTACAGTACAAAGACAGTGTCGCTGATTATTATTATCATTATTTACAGTTAAAATAAATTATGCTTTTCCGAACGCCCGTTTATGCCCAAGTGTAGCACTAGCGATCCGGACCAGACGCTGAAAGTTCCAGAGCTTGCTGGCTGCTGTCTGATCCAAAAGTTAATATCGATCTTCGGAAATTTTCGATGGGGAAGTGGCGGTCTACGAAACCCACGGA